GTTCAGTTGAACTTTTCCAGTAATCCAATATCCGTTCTCATCGCCGTATCCCAGAGAAAAAAACAAATCTGACTGAGTAGCAGAGGCTTCAGAAGCTACATCTGACTGATGACATATTGTTCTCTGCAATAACGCTAAAGCAGAAACACCGGAGTTAGGGATTGTTTTCTATAGCTGTTTCAGCAGAGCTCCATGTGGAACGACACAGCTGCCCAGGGCACAGACCGGAAGCTAGTTTCTGTTTTTTCCACGCTAGTCAAAAACATTAGATTTTCTTAAAATTCCAACCGTGAAAATCCAAAAACGTTTTTCATCTGAGGTTTTAATACTGTTTTACACATGCTGTTCAAAGTAATGTTGCCTCTGGCCAATATCTTTAATGTAAGGCAGAGGCTGAGGCCTTCCCTGGAGCAAGCACTGCAATTTTTGTCACTTCTACACTTTTGGGAGGCAGAGTATCCCCCTTTGTCAAACATCTGCACAAAACAATATAAAAGCTGTTATGGCAAATCAACAAACAAGCTAGGTTTTGAACACAAACATGTTACGGAGTACTCACTCCTCCTCTGGTATCTTCCCTGAGACACTTCTGGTGGAACCGGAAACTCACATTGCGAGAGAAAACAAAAATAATGCTATGCACCAATCGCTGTTTTCTAGATTCAAACATCTTCTGTTTGTCCATGATTTCAAATGGTGTTGTTGTTTTTTGAGACTCTGGTAGTTGGTCCTGATGTTGAAGTGGTAGCAGCTGGCTGTTTCTCCTTCTCTAATAATACTAAGCAGAGAACCATCCACATCAGTGGTGCATCATGATGAAGCATGCATCTTTTGTAGTCATCTTTTGTTTGCACAAATGACCTCATCAGTTTACCGGCTCTCCTTTTAAGTTTGCTTCTAACCATCAGAATACTCCCAAACTGCAGAAGTTGTGTTGTTTTCAGATACCAGTCAGCTGATGCGAGAGCTGCCATTTATCTCTCGGCGCGCTGTCCTCTGCGTTGTCACATGGTGACATCACGTTCATAAACTTTATGGAAAGTCTCCAAAAGTTGAACAAAACATTTAAAACTATTTAAGTAAAACTGAAAAATCAACCAAGCTTCTGTTTTATGCATTAAATGACTTTTATTTATCTTTTTTATCTATTTTTGCTTTTATTTTGTTAATCCTCGTCTCCTATGTGCAAGGTTTTTCTCATGACGGTATTGGAACTGACACCGTTGCTACTTTTTAACACCGGCTGTATACGGTATTACCGCCCAAGCCTATAATCCACACCTTTCTCATTCACTGCCAGCCGTTTCCTTTTTTTTTACCGTGTCCTGTCTGGCTGTGAAGCAAGCAGAATTGATGTCTGAATGCTGGTGACAAGCCTTACAGATTTACTCTCAGGTGGAGCATCAAAGCGTTTGCTTTTAATGTCACGCCTGATACTTAAAACTTTATTGTTATTGTTGTTGAATGCATTGTAATTCCGACCAGACACGGAGAATGAGGTGAAAGAGAAAGGAAAAGAAAAGGTGGGGAGGGGGGGGGGGGGTGTTCCACAAAAATAAACAATGAACAAGAGTCTGCTTCTAGACCTGCAGAAAAAGGCAAAAAAAAAGGGACACAACAACAATACAACAAGATCAAGCTATCACTGCATCAACTTGATGAAGAAAATATATAATCAACATTGCTTAAAGGAGACATAACATGAAAAACACACTTTTTTATCCATTAACACGGTGTGTTTCACATTTTAAGTGTCTAAGTGAGCAAAAAGGCTTATATTATTCACTGGAGTTGCTATTTAGATATTTAATAATTAAGTTTTGGGCATATTTGTCCACCCGTTCAGTTTTTCACATTATCTATTACATCTATTTCGTCAGGATAACTACCAAATATGGTAATGGCCCTCGGCTAAACACAGAGCCAATCCGCCATTTTTTCTTCTCACTAAGATTTTTTGTAGTCCTATTGGAAAAATGCAGAATGCCTGGTTATTTTAGCCACACACAGCTCAAAACTGTTCCTCGTTTTAAGGAAGGGTGGTGTGGCAGTATTTAAACCCAGGAGCTGATGACACTACTGCTAAAAAAACACAGAAGAAAAAGTAGTGTGTGTGTTTGTGTGTGTGTGAGTGTGAGTGAGTGTGAGTGTGTGTGTGCGCATGCGCGCGCGTGGTTCGTTCGGTGTCTCGAGGCTACTGACCAAGTACCGAGGGCTTCATCTATCTAAAAGGAGTTTTTTCCATCTGAATGTGGCAGCAACGGGACACAGCAGCAGAGCAGTAAGCTTCATATCACTCTAAAATGTCGACAAACTTTACTTTAGATTTACGGGCATTAGCAGCACTAAAGCGTTAGCATCCGGCTTGCTATCGCTAGCACAGTATGCTAGTAAAGTTAGCACCCAGATTAATGTGGATTTGGCTGATTTTCGTGGAATAAAACGTGATTTCTGATCAACGCCTTCTTTTACACCAGATGATAACCTCCCACTGATTGTAACAGCAGAGAGTCTGTGCATTATTCTACGTGAGTGTGATGTAATCTTAGCATCCAGTAAATAAAGTCCCATATCAGCTAAAATGCAGCGTGACAAAGTCGTTAAAGTGCGTCAACACAGTGGATTTAATAGAGTTTTAAAGAACGATCTCTGAGTGGAGTGAGGTTAGTTTTTTGTCTCACTGCAGATATAAAAACTAACTGCATCAGTCAGACGCAGCAAAGCTCACCGTCTGTATGAGCGTGAGCGTCGGAAAGCTGATAAAATCGGCTTTAAAATAATTAAAACAAAAGTAGAAATGGTCCTTTGCTTTTTTAGAGTCAACATCCAGAAGACTGGAGCCGTGTTTCACTGACAGGCTGTCAGACTAAAGCCCTGATGAGCTCAGCTGGGACAATCTGGTCTGATGTTTAGGTAAGTGAAGATCTGCTTCTCCAAGTCCTTGAGATGCTAGTAAAAATAATTTAGCCAGCTTGCTAATGTTACTTTTCTTCTCCTCTAAGGAACACAGAACGCTCAGATGTTGGCGCTTCACGTGACCTACTGAGGAAGGAGACCCACCAGTAAAGAGACGGTCTGGACCAGACCAAAGTGAGTGATGACACCTCAGCCACCCTCATCATTAAGAACACCTCACCCCCTGAATCACTCTGTCTGATGACAGCAGAGTGATTTATTTGATGTTTTACTTGTTTAGTCTGTTTAGAAATTATTGAATTACATTATTTTCTGTAAACAACCATCTGATCTGGACGTGTACAGAATAACTTTCCCCAAGTTCAGCAGCAGCTGGCCTACAAAAACAGCTGCAGCATGTAGTAAGTCTGTCTGCTGCACTGCTCTCTAATGAGCTTCCTTTCATGAGGAGTCATTTGTGTAATTTTAGTGTCACTATTTTATTACATTTGTAAGAATATGAAGTCACTGCAGCAAAGTGAACTTGTGAACAAACACAAACGTGACTATAAACATGAAAGCTAAAGAACCAACTTTCCTAAAGCTGCTTGTAAACAAAATATGTCATTAAAGTTATCGTCTATCATTGCAGAATATGGCGATGACATCATGGAACTGGTCTTTGGAAAAGTTTTCTCTGAACCAACTCCGTTTCTAGATGAGGTAGAGAAGATTTGCATCTCACCAACCCTCTGGTCTCAGTATTCAGACAACGGAGGTCTCCCACTGTTATCCAGGACCAGTTTGAAGCCCACATACTGCCCCTCCCTCATCATCAGGAAACATCAATCCGTATCCTGAGGACAACAGAAGACGGCAGGAGGACAGGAACTCTGAGACCTAGACACCACCAGCACCGAGACACAAAGCACCTGTGTGCACAACGCCTGTTTAACTACTAAAGCCTGTTTATTATATTGTCCTACTTATTTGCTGTGAGGTTAATACTTAGAAAATTTGTATATTAATGTAAACAATAAAAAAATCACTGATTGTATGTTTTCTTTTAGATGTAATGGTCCAAACTCAGCCTTGTAGACATTTATTGCATCCTGTAGGTAAATACACAGAACAGGCTCAGATCCAGGATGACCCAGCATGCTCTTCTTCCATTCTGGCTGTTAGGGATTGTATCAATAACTCAATGCCTACTGATGTTTTCACCTAACGGTATTTATTTAGAATGCAGGTAAGATTTAACTATATTTGTTAGCAAAGCAGACTGATCTTGGGAATTTCACTGCAGCACTGATGTCCACCTGTGTGTACACATTAGAGAGAATTACCACTTTACAGCTAAACACATATTTAATAAAGATATAGGCTACGCATTGCAGACAATAAAAACAAAGTTGTAAGCATTAGAATTATAATGATCACATTAAAGAACATTGAGAAATGTTCTTTATTTTTGACTAGAATCTCAAATCTTTAAATTAAAATGTGACTGCTTTTTATCCATTTTCAGCCTTAAGACACCCAATATAAAATAAGACTATTTATAAAATTATTTATAATTATATGTATGTATATAGATAGATAGAGATCTTAATAAAATATATTCTTTTAATGGTGTTTTAATGAGCTGTATCATTTTTTAAAAACTTTTTTATAGAAATAAATAAGCAAGCAGCATTCCTTGTGTGTGTGTGTGTGTGTGTGTGTGTGTGTGTGTGTGTGTGTGTGTGTGTGTGTGCGCGCGCACGTGCCTGCTCGCTTGTCCCTCCGTCGGCCGTGACGGGTGTGTGTGAGTGACTACAGACAAATGCATGAGAGAGTTAGCAGCCTTGAAACAGCCTGATGAACTACTCTCCCCACATGTTTTAAAAATGCTAATATGCTATGCTAAATAATGATTTCTCTATAGAACATAGACTGTACATATACTGGACAATTCGATTCCATAGACTTCAATAACACGTTATCTGTCCATAATGGGAGGTGTCCACCACCGCCATTTTGACCGTGTCACAGGTTCCGTCCAGCCCAGACAATTCCATAAAAGGGAAGAGAGGAGGCGCTAAGGGTGTGGCTGTAAGGCTGGGCTCGAGTGACGACACCCAGGCGAACTAGCTACGAGCTAACCTGAAGCTAACCCTGGCTAACCCAAAGCTAAAGCGGAGGTGGGAGCCGAGCTAACGGATGTAGCCACCTAGCTTCAACCCAACCGGAGCTAACTGGAACACCCATCGACCTGAACCTTACACGGAGTTTAGGTGGAGGTTTTCTGCGCCTGTTCGTGAGAAGTACCTGTATTAAAAAAGTTTTAAATCGGTAAGTTTATAATTTATTTCCGTAATGAAAACATTTTGCTTTGAGCAAGTTTTCAGTAGTTTTTTTTGGCGCTATCACTCCTGAGTCGCACCAGCCATTAAATGTATCATGAAGAAGAGAAAATATATTTAAGTCGTATTTTGGGGGGACATTTTATTATCTTTCTTACAAAATCTGAGACCAAGCGTTTCACATTGCAACACAAGCACCGGTAACCATAACAGAATTTACAGCCAGCAGAGGAGAGGATGGCGGTGTTTCAAACCCTCCCGGCCGGCGTGTAGAGCTCATTCCTGGGCTGGAGCCGGCCCTCAGCACCCCGCCACAGGCTCTAACAGATGCTGGCGGTGTTTCATATATTTCCAAAACGTAATACTTGTTTGTATCTTGTACAGCCAACTAGCCTTTATTCTGGACTCAGTACAATTTACCAAAAGTAAAGAGACATTATACAGATGAAGTAAGCACAAGATAACTTACTGGAAGACACAGAGTTATCATCAGAACCAGAACAAGAGAGCCTGATAACAGTCATGTGAAAATAACAGTTAAAAAGTATGTATGTATAATAGAAATAAAAATATATTAGAATTAGTGTAACTCACTGTGATCCAAACAAATCAGCCATAGCTGATGAGTAAATATGACATGAGGTCTGGGAGTTTTTAAGTTTCATTCTTTTATTACATTTTTTTCTTAGATCTATTAAAAGGTCACCATGGCAGCCTGTGTGTCTCCAACGTCAGCTACACAACGCAGCGTGTAAGTTCCAAGTACTTGTCTTGACCACTTCATGAATGGTTTTGTACTTTAAACAGCTAGGCCAAACCTGTTATTTTTTCTCCATAGCCATTTGGATCATTGAAGACAGCTGAGTGAGGCGTGGTGCCCAGAGAGCTGCAGAGACAACCTTGGCCTCCCTGACGTCTGTGTCTCCTGGTTTGGTTGGGGCGGACCATCGACTTACATACATGTGCCGACACTTTGCGCCCTGTTTTATAAAATGTAGTGTTAAAAATAAATGTTTTTGCTCAATTACTGGAATTTCTTTGGTTAAGACAAAAGTGAGGAATAATCATTTACAAGTTATTTGTACAACAGGCCCATTTTAAATCCCAACAGTTTCTTAGCAGACAATAGAAATGTGTTCTTTACTAACTTTACTTGGTTTGAAAATCTTACTAAAATAAACTTGAGTGCCGTATTGCAAAACCCAATCATACTTATGTAAACATTAGCTTTGTAGATATTTTTTTACAGATATATATTTGTGTGCAACAAAAACCAAACTTAAATAATTTGTCATTCTTTATTGAAAAACAACAAAATACAGGTATACAGAAGTGTGGGAAAATGATAATGTGAAAGTATTGCACTATAAATGAAGTGAGATGAGATGAAGGTGAGATGAAGGTGGACGCCAGCGGGCTGGACGCCGGACGAAGAAACCTGGAGACGGATCGCTCAGACAGGAAGGGAAGAGCTTCCTCTTACCTTGATGGAATTAAAGTTAGCCGTCGTCTGAACGCCCAACCGTACGGTCTGAGGTCAAAGGTCACAGGAAACACACAACAGTCAGCAGTCATACAGATGCATAAAGATGACTAGCCATGGCAACCAGCTGACATGTCCCCACTTTCACCAAAACCTGGTGCCTGCCGGGTCACCTGAATTCCTGTGTGATGTCAGCACGGTCGGCCGTGACTGCTGCCATCAGAGGTGACCTCTGATCAGCTGAATGAACTCACCTTCCAGGGTGACGCCGTGTTAGAGTCGGCTTCATCCTGTAAACAAACAAATGAGTGGTAACATAAACACCACGTCTGGTTCTGGTGGAGGCGGAGGACAACACGCACCTTTCCAGGAGCAGAACCCAGATGTTCTTGTTGCTACAAACATAGACGAGCAGAGTTAAACCAGGAAGTGAGAGGGACCAGCTGCTGATGACAGGTGACGCTCACCTGAGCCTGAACCATAGGAGCCTCCTCAGCCATCAGACCTTCTGACTCCAGTTCAGATGCCACCTTGTTGATGTCCCTCAGGCGGGACTCGTTGGCCTTCAGGTCCTGCAGGACAAAAGCACCTGCTGATCACCTTGTTGCTGTCGGGTTAACAGGTCTGGTGTTAGAACGTGGTGGATAAGAATGTTCTGACGGGCCGAGGGTTCTGAACTCACCCTGCAGGACTGGGCCTGCTCCTTCAGGGCCTGGATGCTGCTGCCGTAAGCCGACAGGTCCGACATCAGGGCCTCGTGCTTCTTCAGGAGAGCCTGTGGAGCAGAACATCAGAACCTTCAGCTCGTCTGACACAAGTGGAGCTTTCTCGCAGCGATGGTCCAATCGGATCCGCCACCGTAAAACAAACCCTGCTCAGTTCACCGCAGACGCAGCTCTGCGGGTGTTTAGTGGAAAAGCGTGAGCCTTCTGCCGGCTGCCACGTGTCATGGCTGCTCTGCAGCGGGAACACACATCACAGCTTGTAAACCGTTTGAAATAAGAGCGACGGGAACACGTTTGTCATCACTTCCTGTGCGAGGCCAGCACTTCTACCCCTAACCCATGAGACGCTCAAACGAGCAACGACGTCTGGTAGACAACCGAAGGAAATGACAAATACAGAAACACTAATTATGAAGGACTGGAAAGAGAGCAAAGAAAAGCGATTGGAGTTTCTCAGGAAGGGACTTCCATACCTCGGCCAAGTCCTCGTCTTTCCCTTAGTCTGGACTTCCAACGATGGGCTCCTTCTCCCTCATCCAGGACTCGGCCTCATTAGCATCCGCAAAGTACTGCTGGGCCTGCAGAGAGTCCTCCAGGTCCTGCCTCCTCTGGGACGCCTTGGCCTTCAGCGTGTCCCAACGTCCATGAAGCTCCCACAGTTTAGTCTTCACTTCCTCACCAGCGAAGTGACCTGGACCCAAAAAAAGTGAGCCAGAACCTGCAGACACCTCAGAAACATGTCAGGACCAGACCTGCTCTACCTTCTTCCACCATGGTCTCTCCTTTCTGGGTGACAGCCTTGATGCGAGGTTCATGACCTGTGACCTCAGCCTGCAGAGCCTGGTGCTTCTTCAACAGGTTCTGGACACCAATCAGGTCCTTCCCTGAGGACACATGTTAGAGTTCAGCATTATGCAGTAGACAGACCAGTTTAACCCAGGGGTTTCTTTCTTCTACAATCTGCTCTTTAACTGTATTATTTCCTGCTATTTCAGCTGTTAACTTTATTTTTTCTCTAAGTGTTTTTCTCCCCAGAAGAAGCTACAACGATGTTCTGTTGAGCTGTGGTGGCCTCATGGAGGGGGCCATCGGCTAGCACACTGCTGCTAACCACTTAAACATTCTCCCTCTCCTGATAATAACATTTTACTTTCTTTGATGTTGGATGTGCTACTACTAGTTTACCCGTTTAATTATAGATTCACTAGGATAAATACAATAAAGTTTATCTCTTGCCAAATAGAATATTTACTGTGGCGAGCCCGTGAAGAGGTGTAGGAGAATGCGACAAATTTGTCTGTTAAAAAGTCTGTTATGTACAAAAACACAATATCATCACACTATTTTGGACCGATACATGACGGTCAGGTCCAGCTTGGGGAGAAAATATGACACGTCTTTCAGGATGGACTTCATCTTTGGTAGCTGGCGAAGCCGGGAAAAGCAGGATCTAACCACCTGGCTAATGTGGGAGTCCATCCGCATCTCTGGGTCCAAAACCACCCCCAGGTTAGTGATGGTTGGCTTCACTAGCTGCAAAAACAGGGTTGCAGGACAGGACTAACTGCAGTGGGAGAGGGAGGAACAAATATTCCAGTTATAAATATTAAATATTTGAACAAATAAATATTTGTTAAAAGGAAGAAACTGATGATGACTTTAAGATTAGAGGAATGTTCTAGAACGGGTCTGGAACCAACGATGGCCCTTTGGATCAAATTTGGATTAAAAAAATAGCTCATGATTTTATTTATGGATGGAATAAAAATACAGGTTGTAAGCATCTTCTCAGTATCTTCATGTTGCACGACTTTCCACAGCAGAAGGACACAAAAACTGCCAGAATTATGATTAGAAAGATTTACGTTTTAATCTCAGAATCCCAACTTTTCCCAGAATCTTCACATTATTCTATGAATTCAGAGAAAATATACATTTTTCAGAGGTCTCGCTCCCCTGTTGTGGATATTTCTCAAAATTCAACCATTTTTTCTTTTCAAAAGCTTTAGTAAGAGTTTGGACTCTAAACAAGTTTTACTTTGCAGACTGCTTGTCTAAACCTTCATCAGATCTGCTCATAATAAAACATTTGGGTTATATTTAATGCCCAGGAAGATGCTCTTCCTGGGCATTAAGTTATCAAAAACAGATAAAAGTATTTTTTACCATAATTTTAACTGCTATCAGCTGATAAAAATAATAAAAAACAGCCTGATCATTAAAGGGGTGTAAGTGAAACCGCGCGGATCACACAAACCATCATGCTGTCTATATGACTTTGAAAATATATAGTTTAATTACAGTTTGATTTATTTGACATCTGTATAATGTTTATTATTTTGTTTTTTCCCCCTAAATGCCTAACGTTTCAGTTTAACATGAATATTAGTCATTCATCACAATACATAAAGTTACACATTTTAAATTTTAATAGGGGAAGACTGCAGGAGGGAGCGGTAAAATACAGAAATCCCCAGCAAAAACAAGAAACTTTACGAGTCTGATGAAACCCGCTGGAGTTCCTTCAGCAGGCCTGGTGGCAGCTACAACGGCCCAGTGGCTGTGCTTGGTCAATGTTATCGAGCTCAGTCCGGCTCGGCCGTGAACGAGCCGAGGCGACATCCTGCTCTGCTTAAGAAGAGGTGTTATTTTCCGCTTCAGAAGAAGCGTCCGTGTTTTACGCTTTCTCAGAGACATGTCACGTTGCTAAGTTGTTAGCGCCGCGCGCTAACACGTCAATAGTGCAGCATAGCCTGCTGGAGGGTTCAGATGAAAACACCCTACCACTCAGGCTGCTTACACATCGATATTAAGTTGTCGCTGTTGCGCTCACGCCGTAATACAGTATTAGATGCGGTTAAAGTCAGACATGAAAAACTCCACGAGCGGTCAGACCGCGCAGCAGCTAGGCGCAGCAAGTAGGCGCCGGATCGGTCAGGCTGCCCGGCCTGAACGCTGGGGATTACCGGATGGAAGAATGGACACAGAAGTCTCCCTCTTAGCGCTCCGTCATATTTCAACCCATTTTTATCTTAAATGCACTGGGTTTTACCCTATTACCCATCTAAATATGCCCTATTAATTATTTTACCGTATTTTACATTTAAATTTCATGGTTAAACAGTACATGCTACATGTTAAACTGATAGTTAGCTAGCTACTTCGGTAAACTCAGCTAGTTTAAAGGTAGCAGTGACATAAAATACGAATATAGATTTTAACTTACCGAAAAAAATGAAGTGGAGACTCCTTGGACGCTCTATTAGTGCAATTAATACCACTGCAAGTCATTTTGTCCAACAATTGCACCAATAATATCCAAAGAAGAATACACAAACACAGAGACTCAAAATGCCGGAGCAGTTTCCAAGCCAGACCGAGGCTGTACTGAGGCCTTTCCACGGAGCTAGCTCTGTGGTCACGTGGGTCTGAGGCGGCGGTCACGTGTGTCGGATGCTCATTAATTATACAGAATTTTAGGCTTTCAATACACTTAAACAGAAGAGTGAGAAAAAAATTCACCCCCCTCAGAGTTGTCATGAGTATAAACTAGATAATTTAGACAAAAAACATGTTTTGGTACCAGGCTGTAAACATGTTTATTTCTGCTGTGAAATCGGCATTTTTAACATGGGAGTCAATGAGGATTTGCTCGCTTCTGGCACCAGCCCCCAGCGGATGAGGGTGGAACTGCAATTTTTCTTACTTCCGGGATGGGACCATTTTCTGAGCGGCATTGTGGGGGCTTGCTATAGAACTACAAAGTCCGGCTGGGGGAGGAGAGTACAGGTCTGCACTATGGAGGGGGGCGGAGTTTACAGCTCCTCCTCCAGTTTAAAGAGACAGTACCCCAAAACGGCTCGTTCTCAAGACTCTCCTCAGAACAGGGGTAGATGAGGGTCTGTAGAGCAACAATAATGAGGAAATCAGACCAAAGAACTGCAGTTCCACTGTTTTTAGACCCCAACTGAAGGATTTAGATGTAAAAAGGAATAACTTAAAAGCATGTTATGTCTCCTTTAACTGAAGAATCACGATAATAAATCACAGTGCATTAAGTGCCCACCATAGTCTTAAGACCTGTGTAGAACGTGCCCAAGCCCATACTTTTGAGAGCACCATGTGAGCACCTGTATGTGTACACGCGCTTGTTTATGTAAGGTTTCTCTATAGGAGCGTCCAACAGAGAGTGTGAGGGACCACAGATCCGCCCCCCAAAGATGCCCAGGAGACGGGGGGAGCTCCAAGTCCCAGAGATCCAGGCGCTGCCCCAGAACACAGGAACCCCAAGGAGACTGCAACCAGGAAGGCCCCCCGCCCCCCCCGAGAGGCACAGAGGATCGCCCCGGGGGGCCACAACCAGCAGCCGGCAGAGTCCCGGGAGACATCAGCGGCAAGCCCACAGGCCCGCCCGCAGCCTCCCACCCCCTAGCCAGCCAAGCCCGGGACCCAGCGACCCGGGACCCAGGGGCGACCACCCCCGCCGGGGACCCAGCAGAGCCCAGGGACCCAGACCCCACCAGGCAACCACCGGGATCTATCAGGCAGATGCCTTAATCTAAAACCCCCAGACCCGGTTGCCACGAACACTCAGGCAGACCATGGCACAACCCCTCACACCAGGTGTCTGCCAGCCGTTTCCTGATCACTAACGGCCTTTGCTGCCAGCGTTTCTCACCGTTTTTACTGTTTTTTTAAGAGTCACAGAACGTTGTGCACTAGCATGATGTCGATGCCAAAACAACCAAAACAAAGAGGAGACTCACCTCTTACATCAGGAAGAATCCGTGTGTTTCGAGCGTTATTCGTTCTTTCATAATCCGTTGTCGAATTGTGATCGGCAGACGCTTTTCCGGTTCGCGCCTCACTTTTTTTTACAGGAACGGCCCAAAACGATCTCCAAACACATGGATGTGTTGCTTCCTGATCATGTGATCTGTGACGTATGCGGATGAAGATCGGCTTCAGGGCTGAAATGTTTGTTCTCTGAGCGCGGGGGCTCGTTCCGATGCTCAAACAGTAAAAAAGTACAAATGACGACTTTAGTCGTCATTGGCAGTGAACGGTTGGATCTAAAATGACGACTTTAATCGTCAATGGCAGTTAATGAGTTAAAAGTGACTTGGAGGCAGAATTTTAAGTGCCTCGAGAAAACTTCAAATGTTCTACTGAAATAATTTAGCTTTTTTTTGTGGGAAGTTGCCAACATTGTTAAAACATTGGGATATTTCTCTAACAACCCTTTGGAATTCCACCATCATCATTGTCACATGCAGTGGCAATGAAGGCTTTTGAATTCTGGTTTGATTTAGGTACATTTTGCTTTGTTAAAACACAACCAACATGTTTTTGGAAAAAATGTTACTTAAAAAAAGAATCTAGCAAAAATAAATAAACAACAAATAAATAAAAGCTGATGTTTTTAGGGCCCTGTCCCTGGAACTTTTGGCTCAGCCATATCCATTTGCTGCCTCTCTGACTATGCAGCATTAGAGAGCACACAAACACAAAGAGATGTTTTCTGTTTTGGAAAATCAGCTGTTGAGTTTTAGCTCACGTACAACAGATGTGAAAAAAATTGGCTTTATTTTAGTTAACCTGAGAGAATAAATAAATCATGGTAAAATCAGATGACTCTCACACAACACCACGCACATACACACCCCACCCTGCTTCCCCCCCTCGAGGACAGTCAACTTTACTTCTTCTACATCTGATCTTTCTGGACAATCACTTCTGTTGTTGGCGATTTCTCTCCCACTCCTCGAGACACCCCGAACATCCCGCGGCTGCAGCTCACACCTTGATACCAGTAATGGAAGAGTGGTGCCCATTGTTGCAGTAAACATATCCCATGATGCACTCACACGCTATCAAGCCAGCTGGGCAGGCTACCGGCACCCAGCTAATTCAATCTAGCGTATCTACGGGACTACGTGTTTATCCCCCTATTATTGTAAGTATGGTTTTAAATGAGAAAACATTTAGGACTTTTAAAAATGTTCACTCACATGATGTTATTTCAGATCATATATTTGTGAGTACTTCTATTTTCATGGTAAATGGCTTGTATTTAGAACCCACCAAGGCGCTTTACAACACAACAGTTATTCACACATTCACTCGCTGAAACCACAGCTGCCCTGGGGAACACTAACAGAAGTGAGCGACTTCTTTCTCAGTCCAATATGGAGATTAAAATTAGACTATTACATCTGTTGTTAAGACTGGGTTGGAGTTTTATTAGCTGCTCACTTTGTCTACATTTGATCCGATTTCTCTGCTGTTGTTCCATTAAAGAACTACATAATACACATAATTAACAAGCCTTAAATAAATGATTCATTGTACTGTTTTTAAATTCTAATAAAGACTTTTAAGCAACAGAAACCTGGAATGTTTTTGTCTGCTTCTACGATAAACTTCACTGCACCATTAATCTAAGGAAATATGTTAACCAAACCACTTGGTAATGGTGCACGCTGCTTCTAAAATCCATCATTTTTCATAGAAAAGGTTATGGTATTTAGCTACTCGAACCCACAACTCACAAAAAATAATGTGCACAAAGCCCCAGACTGAAAACAGGATCAAACTGAAGATTATCACCAACCTTCTCCAGTTTTTCAAAATGCTCCCTCAGGAACTTCATAGGACGCTCAGGCTTAGCGATGCAGAGGTTCACAATGCACTCTTTGAGGATCTGCTGGATGTTGTGCTTCTGCACAAAGATTTCACATCCCTTCAAACTCTCGTCTTCTTCCAGAGTGGAGGAGGAGGTGGCCATCTTATCTTTTATCTCTGCGGTAGTGGGAGAAAACAGGGTGGACCATGAGAGGAGGGAGGGAATGCAGAAGGGAGGTAGAACATTGAGCTGGGGTAAAGGAGAGCTGAAATGAACAGAAAGACGATTAGGATGACCCCATTAAAGGTGCAGTATGTAAGAATATAGTGAGAATTTTAAATTCCAAAAGAGTCTAATGTTTCAGTCATTTTGGAAGGAAGGTTATACTGAAACATGTTTCATGTCTAGCTGGCTGCAGGGATTGTCAGATTTTCTTCTTTCAAAACAATGGAAGGAGGGACGTAACTACTGTTTACCATCAGTGAGTGTGGGGTTGCTGTGTCTTCTGCGAGCTAATACTGCAGCACCGACAATTGTAATTTGACAACGGCCGGTAAAAAGCTCCAGAGTTGTTCAAAGTGGTTGCAGTAACCAAATTTTACCACATGATGTCATTTTCACTTCATTTCTACATAATGCACCTTTAAGATCAATAAGAGGACATGGGGCAGGATATATCTGTTAGCAGTGCCTCACATATGATGCCTTCTAATTACAGAGATGGAATACAAATGAACAGTGGATCACTAGAAAAACTATCACAACATGAATTTTAAACTATCTGATTAAAATGGAATAATCGGCCTATGGATATATTTGGAATCATGCTGCAAATCAATCCTCTCTAATTTAATCAGGAAACACCTTTTGTGTTAGATTTGTTATTTAAGAGGCTATCATTATATTTGTTTGGATTTCAAGAGTCATGCCAGCACTTACTTTACTTCAAGAAGATGTGATACTGACTGCATTTTTCCTGCTGGTATCAAATTCAAATTTCAAACAAAACTGCTTTTAACATTAGATGAAGCTGTCTTTCTATAAAGCACTGCATTGTTGTTGATGTTGCTTAAACATTGCACTGCAACAATTTTAGAGAAATCAAGTTAGTTGATTTGCAAAAGCTTGACTGGTCCAAACAATTAGGGTTATGATTGACTATTCATTTTAATATAATTTATAATCACTATCATGCAAAAAACAGCATATCGCCTTTGTATGTTTTTGTGTTTTTGAATTTGTTAAATATGATAAACTATCACCATTTAACGTGTTTGAAAGGTGATAGAGAATAAAAACAAAAAGCTGTAATTACATTTGACTGCAAATAATTTTAATACCATTGTGTTTATTTACTACAAGTCAGGAAGAGAAGCGAGTTAGCCACCTCGTTTCACTTCCTCATAGGGATATCACGTATACAGTACGATACAGTATGGTTATGAATGTAAATCAAATGGCTATGAGGTCTTGACATGTACCGTGGGCTAATTATTCCCCACAACGAGCGCAGCCCTGTCCACATTTAACTGTTTCATCAACTGTGTCACTTGTGATGCCAGGGAGCACCTGTTCAAATGCATTCCAAGGAAGCTAACACAGCTAGCGAAGCTAATCTTACAGTGATAGCCAAACCACAGCGAAGGGAAATTACTGCTAAAGGAGACGCCACTACAGGGCCCGTTAGAGACGGTTAGTTCTGTAAGCACGGCTCGGTCGGTGCTCGCGCTGATGTTCCTACCGTTTTTTTGTTTTTGTTTGTTTTTTTCAGAAGGATGCTCAGTGAGAAAACACCTCGCGGATGGTAGAGGATTGATGATGGACGGCTTGTTAGCTGGGATGATGCTGCTGCTGTTGCTGCTTTGCCTCTCCGTTCGCTCTGCGTCAGTCTCGATGACGTCAATCTGTCATTTCGACCGCAGCGTGCTCTCTTGAGGACGGCAGCACGCGGCAACCCTTCTGCAGGCCGGGCACGAGCTAGGAAGCAAAGAAACACGGACATTTAAAACAAGCCATAAAAAACAAAAAAGCTGCTAATGAGTTCACCACAGTGTCGGTTTTCGTGGCCTCAAATTATAGCATAATAATGTAATAAAAAACTGTTACCGTTAGGTTTTCATCTTCAGTTCTTTTTATTAAAGCAGTTTTGCAAGCAATTCCCGTTATAGATCGCAGAAGGGGTTTTAACACATAAAAGTGTTGCTGCTAATTTCTGTTTATTGGAGCAACGGAAATCAGATTCAATTTCAGAGAAAACAATCCCCAAGAGGATAATGTTTGCTTACAAAAATCTACAACTTAAATGAAAATTAAACATACGCACAAAATCTAAATATAAAAGTAATTCACTCACAAATGTATTTTCTCACATCAGCACATACAGCAGAATTTTTTGTCATGACAAATAAAGTTTAGGGATTTGAATGAGTAGTTATCGTAAAGGAGCCTTTTGTTTGTCGTGCAGGTCCCGGTTACCATAACGACCGTCAAGATGGCAGCGGAGAAAACAGGAGATAAGCATGCTGCATCAGACGTTTTGAGAGGACTCCACCGACACCTAAACTGTCTGAACGAAGACAACAAAATGACACGAAGGAGAGCTCTTGAGCTGATAAAGAAGGAGACTGTTGATAAAGGGCTCTGCAGCGGTGTCTTACAGGAAATATTATCTTCCCTCCTCAAGCCTCTTCTCAAAAGCCTGTCAGACCCTGTGGAGCGATGCAGAGAAACCGCACTTGTCACAATAACTGACTTTATTCGATGTGTTCCCAGACCGGAGGAGTCGCTGTCTTATCTCATGCCCTGTCTGGCTCAGCGTTTTGGGGAGAAGGAGACCTTAGAACCGTCGGAGGAGCTTCGGCTGTTAGCCGTGGAGCTGTTGACTCTGACGGTGGAGGTGTGCGGGAAGCACTTAGCGCCATATCTGAACGAGATGATTAACATACTGCAGAGAACGATCGTTGACCCTTTCCCGGATGTTAAAAGAGAGAGCTGCAAATGCGTCGTGAGTTTTGCGAAATGTGTACCAGGTAAGTTCTCTGTTGGCCAAAAACTCCGTTACCACCATGGATTCACCGTACCCGCAGCTGCAGTGTTTTACAGTTCTCTACAGATCAACTGAGAAGGAATTATGAGTTTCACCAATACAATCCAAACTGCCAGTAAAAGTGTAAACCAGTTTTACTGTAATGTCAACACATGTATCTGCAAATAGCTATGGATAATTATCATCAACACAACACAGCGCTCATAAAAGTCATGAGTTGTGATAGCTACTTGGTAGATATGGCAGCGTCTTGTGACAGTTGATCATGACGTGCTGATCTCTTGACTACAGCACCGCATGGGGATCTCCGGTTTGGCTCTGCTGTGGTTAAAATCATATGTCTTTAACAGAACATTCTGTGTTAAGTTGGGTTCTGCTTCATCTTCTGTGGCCCCTTTGCTACGGGGTGTACCACAGGGATCAATTCTGGGGTCTCTATTGTTTTCATTAAACCTCAGAAGAACACTCAGTTGCACTTTCAAGTGGTGCAAAATGTTGCAGCTTGTTTTTTAACTGTCAAAAGAAAATTTGAGCACATCATCCCAGTACTGGCCTCTTTACAATGGCTTCCAATTGATTTTAGAGTTTGTGTTAAAACCCTTTTATTGGTTTTTGAGTCATAAAATGGTTTGCCACTGGTTTACCTGTCCAATTTGCCTCAACCTTAAATCCCCTCTTGGTCACTGGTCAGCTGATCAGCTGTTGTTAGTAATCTCTAAATTGCGTCTGGAACTTAGAGGAGCTTCCTCGGTTTTAGCCCCAAGGCTGTGGAATGATTTCCCTCTAAATGTTAGGCAGTCTTCCTCAGTGGAAGTTCAGACTGAAAACTTCATTTTATGAACTGGCTTTGATTGCAGAGGGTATCTGACACTGCTATTTTACTTTGAATGCTTTTTTTTCTCTTATTGATTTGACTGTACATTTAAGTACAGCACTTTGGACAACTATGTGTTGTTTTTAAAGTGCTACAAATAAAGTTTGGTAAGGTATAGTATCGTCATCATCAAGTCAAAATACACTGCCTGGCCAAAAAAATCCATTTGGCACCAAAAAAAAGGTCACACACACTAATATTTTGTTGGACCACCTTTAGATTTGATTACAGCACACATTCACTGTGGCATTGTTTTGATAAGCTTCTGCAATGTCACCAGATTTACTTCCTTCCAGTGTTGCATTCATGTTTCACCAAGATCTTGCGTTGATGAGGGTAGAGTGTGACCGCTGCGCAAAGCCTTCTCCAGCACATACCTAAGATTCTCAATGGGCTTAAGGTCTGGACTCTGTGGTGGCCAATCCATGTGTGAAAATGATGTCTTATGCTCCCTGAACTACTCTTTCACTATTCGAGCCTGATGAGTCCTGGCATTGTCATCTTGGAATATGTGCTTGTCATCTGGGAAGATCAATCAATCAATCACAATTTATTTGTATAGCGCCTTCCACACTGCCTTTACAGAAGCCCAAGGTGCTGAACATAACTTTAAAATAACAAAAGAGCAAAGAGACCACAAGACAGATTAAAACTGCATAAAAGAGTGTGTAAAATAACAAAACAGATACAATAAAAGACTAAAATTCTAAAAATCTACATTACATGAAAGCCAAACGATAAAAATAAGTCTTCAAACGACTCTTAAAGACCTGCAGTGATGGAGACTGTTTGACAACAAGTGGGAGCTCGTTCCATAGTGCTGGAGCTAGGACAGAAAAGGCCCTATCACCCCTTGTTTTCAGCCTTGTTCTTGGGACGATGAGCAAATCTTGGTTAGCTGAGCGAAGAGAATGTGTAGAGGCATGCATCTGAAGCAGCCCAGCCAGATATGGTGGGGCACCACCGTTGAGAGACCGGAAGACGAACAACAAGACCTTAAACTTTGCCCGACAATCCACAGGGAGCCAGTGCACGGAAGCTAGGACAGGAGTAATGTGTGTTGTTTTGTTCGAGCCCGTCAGAAATCTAGCTGCAGAGTTCTGAACCAACTGCCACCGCCCAGTGCTACCTGAATGCGGAATAACCTGGTCATTCAGTATATTCAGGTAGTCAGCTGACCCCATTCTTGGAGCACATCCTGTTGCTGAACCTAGACCTGACCAACTGCAGCAACCCCAGATCATAGCACTGCCCCCACAGGCTTGTACAGTAGGCACTAGGCATGATTGGTGCATCACTTCATCTGACTCTCTTCTCACCCTGATGCACCATCACTCTGGAACAGGGTCCATCTGGACTCATCAAACCGCATGACCTTCTTCCATTGCTCCAGAGTCCAGTCTTTATGCTCCCTAGAAAACCGAAGCCATTTTTCTGGTTCCACTCACTGATTAGTGGTTTTCTTATGGCTACACAGCTGTTCAGTCCCAATCCTTTGAGTTCCCTTTACATTGTGCATGTGGAAATGTTCCTACTTTCACCATCAAACACAGCACTGAGGTCTGCTGTTGGTTTTCTTCTATTTGATTTCACCAAAAGTTTAAGTGATCACAATTATTTAGCTTTTTTTTCCGGGCCACATTTCTTTCTCAAAGACGACAGGTCCCCACGATTCTTCCGGTTTTTGTGCTGGACCCAACCCAATTTTAGTCATTTCTGAAATCTCATTAGATTAAATTCAATTCAAGTTTATTTATATAGCGCCAAATCACAACAAGTCGTCTCAAGGCACTTCACATAATAAACATTCCAAAACAGGTCAGTTCATTAAGCCAATCAGTAAAAAGTTTCCTATATGAGGAACCCAGCAGGTTGCATCAAGTCACTGACTAGTGTCAGTGACTTGATGAGGCAATCCTCATACTAAGCAAGCATTTAGCGACAGTGGAGAGGAAAACTCCCTTTTAACAGGAAGAAACCTCCAGAGAATCCTGGCTCAGTATAAGCAGCCATCCACCACGACTCACTGGGGATGGAGAAGACAGAGCACACACACACACACACACAACATATATACCGAGTACTGTTTCTATGGCTACATTGTGATTTCTCAGTAAATATTCTATTTAGTGAGAGATAAACTTTATTGTATTTATCCTAGTGAATCCCCAATGGGGTTGTGACTAAAATGTCATTTTTAATGTATTTTCTTTGGTCCAGAGCACTTTCACATGCAGGCTGAGAGTCTGGTGAAGCCTCTCATGCAGACGATAACCCATCAACACTCTCGGGTGCGAGTGTCAGTCGTTGAAGCCACCGGGGCGGTCATTCAGCACGGTAGTGGGAAAAATGTGGATGATGTACTCTCACACCTGGCACAAAGGCTGTTTGATGACTCACCACAGGTAGAGCTTTTATTAATGTGAGAGTCTGTTTTATCTTATTACACTGTATCAGCTGGCTAAGGTTGTACTTTTTACTACTAGAATTACAAGGACAATTATTTACCTGTACTTAACCTGTACTGTGTTTCTTTCATGATCAAGGTGAGAAAAGCTGTAGCTGCGGTTGTTGGTGGTTGGCTTTTAAATATGAGAGACCGATACTCCTACTTCCACAAACTCATTCCACTCCTGCTGAGCAGTACCACCGATGAGATCCCAGAAATCAGGTTTCGTTTAATCTTTACACTTTATTTTGTGGAGTGTGCATTTTATCATTTTACATTCACCTAATAATTAACAAATAGGTGTTTAAAGGAGATTTTTTTTAACAAGTTGATGCAATTTCCTTAATTCTTAATGTCTATGATGGTTTCAGTCCAGATACAAGAAGATTATATCACCAAACCTCTTGTATATTATTTTACTTTACAACTATTTAGGATCATTTTTGGATGTGGGTTGAAACCCTATTGTGTGTGTGTGTGTGTGTTTGGTGACAGAAATAATAATTATACATCTGGAAAAAGTTGAGACATGATTTCTTCTCATTTGAACTAAAGTGACTCATCCTGCCTCTCAGCTGCTCAGTAAACGAGGACTTTCCGAACCCAGCGAGGAACAAAAAAACCCAAAAGATTCACGTTAATATTATCTTTAGGTTTTATTTGTTCAAATTTTGAGTTCCTATTTAATTTAGACATTGAACATTTTCAGAAAATGTACAAAAAGGAAACATGATTGTACATTTTGTGGAACACTGTGTATTTCTACAACTTTATGCTTTATCTTTACAGACTTTTAGCTGCTGATCTATGGAAGCAGGTCGGCGCTCAGTGGGAGCAGGAGAATGAGGACGACATAAAGGACAAGATGGACTTCCTTCTAACCCCACCTCTTCACTACCCACCAGGAGGTCAGTCGCTACAAAAGCTGGTAGTTTTATTTTCAGTTTTCTTCTACAGCTGAAAGTCAAAAAAACTAGAATATGGTGCTTAAGTCCATTTATGTCAGTAATCCAGCTCAGACTGAGAGACCATCTAAAACAATGGTCCTCAATAGGCGACTCGCGGGCCCTCTCTTTGTGGCCCCCGAACCCTGCGCGCACCCCCCGTCACCCTCCGAACTGGAGGAGAAGGGACAGGTTGTCTTTCTTTATACTGTAAGCTTGTGCGTTATGTGCATTACAGCTAGCAATCCAAACAGCAGCCCCCCCACCCCCCCACCCCCACCCCCACCCCCCCACCCCCATCCGGACCTCTTGCTTCTGGGTTTTTTTTTTTTTGAGTGGCCCTCGGACCATTATGATTGAGGACCCCTGATCTAAAGGCTCAGGATTCCTCTGCAGGGGTTCTGGATTCATCAGCTGATTAGAGACACTTGATCCTTTTCACGTTGTTCTTATTGTCTGAGGCTTGGACTGTGGGGTTTTCATAAGCTGTGAGTCATGATTATAACAAATAAAGGCTGAAATATCTGGATTTGCATGGAACGAGTCCATCTCATAGTTTAATTTCATCTTTTTAAGTAGAATTACTGACATAAATGAACTTTTGCACCATATTCTAAGTTTTCAAGGTTATAATATTTGATTAAATAGAAACAAGCTCTCGGCTTGTCCGAGTCTTCCATCACATACCCAACTTTCACAGCCACAGTTTGAGGGTCATCTGCAGCTGTTCGATGTTGCCATGCTAAGGAGACCGTACCCTTCAGTAAACAGAGGTGCTCCATGTGATGAATAAAAGGAAGTAAAAGTCTAGATTACAGCTTTGCTACCGTTTGCACTCGTTTTTCTAAATACAGTTTCAAATGAAAGCCCTAAAACTGCTCTCCGTGCTTCTTCAGCAGCTAGATCGTTAAAACTTCTGCTTCCAGTCAGTGTTAAGTCCTTCCTGAATATGTTCTTGTTTCATAGCGAACAATAAAAACGATGCCTATGTGACGGCGGTGCTGGCAGGGCAGGCTCTGAACATGAGCATGGTAGCTAGACTATACCCAAGGGTTGTGTGTGTGTGTGCGCGCACGTGCGTGCGTGTGTGTGTGTGTGATTGGACACTTAGCTGTTTCTCTAGGCCTCTACAGATCTCAGAGCCTCACAGTGAGTATAAAACTGGCCTATAGATGGGAAGGGTTCTGTTCTTTTCTTCCTCTCCTTTCTCTCTCTAGCCGTCATAAATCTAGCAGCCCTCCCAGCACGAGGTCACCGTCAGACAGCAAAAGACAACCAGAAATGGTCTTGTTTGGTCTTGTTGAGGTTAGCTTCTCTGATTTATCACCTGCTTTCTTTGGTCCCCACTTTCCTTCTCATCAGAGAGGGGGAATAAGGTAGTGTGAAAAAGAGAGGAGAGAACGGGACGCCCAGGGTAACAATAGCAGGCTACTTAAGAATGCCTCTTGCTTGCTCTGAAAAGATTTTCTGACCTCATAGTTATTATTTGATATATTTGTTGAAGCTCAGCTGTTAGTAATTGTTTCATAATGTTTTATGGAAATGTCCGTATTCAAATTTGTTCTAATAAAAAACAGTGGTACACATGATTGTTTTATTGTTGATAAAAAAAAGAAAAGACCCTTTTCCCTCCAGTGGAACGTCCAGGCCTGGGTTGCAGAGAGTTGGTTGTGAGAAACCTGGGGCGACTGGTACCAGCTATCAGCCATGATGTGACGGACTGGCTGGTGCCGACGCGGGTCAGGACCTCCCAGCTCCTCTCCGTGCTGCTGCTGCATGCAGAGGACCACACCACTCAGCACCTGCAGCCGCTGCTGGCCACGCTCTACCGGGCCTGCGCTGACTCAGAGAGGGATGTGGTCAACAACGTGAGTCCCGCACAGCTTTTCATCAGATTAGCAGGATGTTTTGTATCACTTTGTTTTTCTCGTTGTGATTCAGACGCAGCAGTATTTCTCAACCTTTAGTGGTGTTCAGTGAGAAGAAATAATGTTTTTTTTTTGAGTCAGCGGCGTTGTTTCTACATAAATCTGTCATCTGCTGAGTTTAGACTGGTACTGGCTGGGTTCAAAGGAATGGGATGCACCTGTTTACATCAGTGGATTGTGTGGATGTTTGATGTGTGCTGAATTTTAAAATGCCTTCCCGTCCTCGTCCTTTTCCACTCCCTCACGCCTTCTGTTTCTTCTCTCTCTTCCTGCCTGTACCCACCACCAGTGCCTGGCAGCTGCTAACCTGATGGGGACCTTCGTCCCTCCACCTGTCTTCCTCAAGCTGCTGCTTGATCATGTGACAAGCCCATATTCTTCCTCCCACCCCTGGCCCCCCCTCATGGTGCTGGCTGCGGTGCTGGGAGGCTGCTCCAGAGAGCTACTGAAACCACATCTCCAGCAGATTGCCAACACTCTGGTCCAGCCTGCCGTGTGCCAGGAATATCAGCAGGTCAGCAGAGACTTGTTGACCCATTTGAAACCTGTTTATGACCGTTCTCATGATTATGACATCTCACTCATTCACACACACATTTAAACGCTGTTTAATTAGCTGTGTTCATCAGCAGTTTCTCATCAAGTTCTGTTAGGGGATGCTGGCTGTGCTATTGTTGTCCTTACGGATCTTTACACCTATATATTGGCAGTAGCAGTGCGATACTCGAGTGTTTTAGCCGATTAGACCCATATGGAGCTGGGTTTTGTAACAGGATTCCAGGTTTTTAAAGGTCTTCTGCTGATCGCTCTACTATTGCACCTCTGTGCTCTGTGAGTTCAGAGGGTTCGCTGTTGCGTAATCCTCCAAAATGCCAATGCTGCTAAAATGGCGGGCAGGCCACAGAGGGTTTTTTTACCCCCAAATCTTACATTACAACCTTACATTTCTTTGATCAAACTGTTTCTGCTCACAATCAGCTGTGAAAAGCTACATCCCTTACATTATTGCACGTTTTTATTTTATGTTAGAGAAACACTTTTGGAGTTCTTCTGTAAGTAAAACCATCAATTCCAGAGCAGACTCTTCATTTGGTTTATTTGCTCCAAATAAGTTTCCTCCTGACAGAAAATCCTGCTCTGCACGGACTCACCTACACCTATTACCCCACCTAGCAAGAATTTCCTCTCTGAGATAATAATAACAGGATTCCGCTAACGCCGCGTGACCTCTGCACGGCTGCGCTGACCTTACAGCACACAGGCCTTGTTTTTTATAGCTGTTCGTATGTTCTTAGCACCAACCTGCTGTTCAGCTGCACCGTTAAAGGAATCCTTGAAATTTCAAAGGCTGCCTGCACAAAGCTGATGATAAATGAGGAGGGAAACTGACCCCTTTTTTTCTCCTCTTGTCTGGTGGGGTCATCCAGACAGATAGCTAACAGGACGGCGGTCGCATGCTGCCACACAGATGTGAACAGACCTCTGCTTCCTCTTCTTCTCTTCTCACATCCATCTTTTCTCTCCTCTTTCCCCCTCACTGTTTTTAAAGACAAAGCATAGCCAGATAAAGCACCTGCCACATACTTTGACAATAAGCATTGTTCACAGCAGAGAGCAGGACCTTTATAAATAACACCACCGTAGACGGGTGAGCCAGCGTCCAGCACGCACTCCTGTTTTTTTTTATTTATTTTTTATTTCAGGATTAAAATGCTGACAGAGAAGCTTCAGCTTGTTGAGATCTGAGTGACAGGCTGGCTCATCTTTTATTATAGTTTGGTTTAACTTTCGTCACACAACATAATAGATTCACTCTTGTTTTATTTCATTTTATTCCTTATAACCAAAGCAGTTTAAGACATTAAAAAAACACGTCTAACTCGATAGAACTACGTACCACTTCAAACCAGAGGCAGAGAGGGAAGAAGACGTGATGTTTGACTTGGAGGAAATGAATGCCTGTAAAGACATTAAACATAAATAATCTTCAAAGTGACCAGAGGCAGTGGGAACCGCGAGACTCTGCTGGGAGCTGAGGAAATGAAAGCTGATATATGATGCTTCTGCTCGACGCAGCCTCTCGGACTCCTTCAACTTTGTTTTCTGTATTTTAGTTGACAGAAAAAAAAAAGATGACCCGCAGAAATAAATGGTAGATGCTCTTCAAGCATGAAACTATTGATTATGATTTGAGGTTGAGAGACTAAAAAAATACGGTTTAAGCTAGGGCTATTCAGTTCTGGGCCTGGAGGACCAGCATCCAGCACATTTTAGTTTTAAAGTTAGAATATGGAATATTTAATAAAAAGCTATATTTTGAATAAAATAATACGTCCACGGGCATTTAGAGGTGTGCAGAATAAATATACAGTTTATCTTTTAAAAGCTACATTTAAAAAGACAAATAATCAAAATTTTATTTTGTTAGGCACAATGCTGTGTTTATGTTTACATCTAACAGCCACTAGAGGGCAGCGTTGCTCTAAAAAGTCTGCTCAGCAAGGCGAGGCTGGGACTGTGTAAAATGGTAGACTTGACAAGTCAAGCAGCTGGTTCTGAGCCCAGAAGATGTTCCAACAGTAAATGCGTTTGTAAAAATAAACGTATTAGTAGAAATGAGTCCTTATCCTGTACGATTTGTCACTGAACATGGTGCTGTAACACGTCAGCAGTGAACCAACATCCCAACGGCTGGAAAATGAGTCCTGTTGTTGCAAAACCACCTCTGAACACCAGAATTTACCAGTGTGTCCATGTCCATATTCAACCTTTAACCCTGCTTCAACACACCTGATTTCAATCAGCAGTTCATTAACAGGCTTCTGCGGAGCCTGACGAGCTGCTGCACAGGTGAATCAAACACCACATTTAGTGTGTTGGAGCAGAGAAACCACTAAAACGTGCTGGATACCGGCCCTTCAGGCCTGGAATTGAATTGCCCTGGTTTAAGCTAGCAGTAATGGTAGCTACTATCATCTGAGGTGTGGCGAGTCATTTATGAGCAATGTCTTCTTAAAGAGCAAGTCACCCTCAAATCAACTTTTTTGTTGATAAACTATATAAATGAGTGTCTAATTGCTCTGTAGACACATTCAGTCAATAATTTGGCACTTTAGTTAATCTTAGTTAAAATTTAAATAATCTGCCTAAAACTGTCAGCGATGCACCGTCGTTAGGCAAAAACTCAGCACTGCATTTGAATTTAAATCTGCCATCGCTAGTGGCTAAGAGGTACACTATGATGTTAGATGGTACGTTATGATGTCACAATGTTGTGAGGCATTGTGACATCATAATCTACCAGTTTACATCATAGCATACCTCTTAGCCAATAGCGGTGGAAGATTTAAATTAGAATACAATGCAGAGTTTTTACCTGACAACGGCACAACACTGCCAGTTTTAGGCAGAATATTTAAATTTTAACTAAGATGCACTGAAGTGACAAATTATTGACGGCACGTGTCTGCAGCACGATTAGACACTCGTTTCTTTAGTTTATCAGCAAAAAAAAAGGTTATTTGGGGTGACTTGCTCTTTAAGAACCACCTAAGAGTTTCATTTAAAAGTATATTCCACTGAGAATAAACAAATAGCCACCAAGCACAGCTGGCTATTGTTGCCATGGTGATAGAGGCATCACAGTAGTCCAAGGATAAGGATAATTTAGGAATAAACAGATGTATTAACCAAAAACACCTGCAAAGATCCTTTTGTTTATTTTCTTGTCCATGAAAGCAAAACTCCCTCCGTGACATAACATCAACTGGTAGCAACAACACACATCTGGTGTGAGCGTGTCGTTTTACCCGCATGTTTCATACTTTAAACGTGAATAACAGCGGGATACTACACACTTCTCCACAGGAGGACCGTAAGCTTAAAAAGCAGCTTAACCCATCTAGGGAAGGGTCGACATCACACACTGCCCTTGTGTTTGTTTTACTGTTGCCATAGAAACATCATTGGTTGTACAGGGGGGTTGCTTTTCACTGGATAGGAATTCACCTGGTCCTTAAGGAGGAGCTGGGCGGGTGTAATTAATGTATCCAGAGGTGGACAGATGAACTCACACGATGGCCCCCAGCAGCATAAAACCAGACGTATCTCACCTGGCTCCAGGTGTCCAACTAGTCATTACACTTCACCACTTTTTCTGCTCTTCATCTTTACTCTAGTCCAGTCCTCGTGGTTGTTTTCTGCTCCTGAATAAAATGTCTGCCATTGTGTCTCACGGCAGTTTTGCTAGATTCCCTGGTGCTCCGGGCGACTTTGATGTCCCAGTGGACTGCTCAGTCCCTGGCAGGGATCCCCCCCACCACCACCAATGACTTGTGAACACTTGTGACTAGACCTGAAGCAATGAGGGATGTATATTGGTGGATGTTTTTGGGACTGTATTTTATTTCTAGGCTGGATTAGCTCAGTTCTACAAAGTTCATCTTGTTGAATCTGTAATTCAGCTTCAACCACACAGAACTCCTGTTCTGTTCACTGGTGTGTGATTATTAAGAAAATGCTAGAGTCAAATTACCGTCCTTTCTTCCTCCCTCTCCTCTTGTTTTTGTAACAATCAGGGCATCAGAACTTGTCTTAGTTCCAGATGAACTCCAAGCTTCGTGTTACATTAGCAGCTCAAATTTGAGAAAAGATTGGGCCTCCCCTTGTGTTTCAACTCTAGCTTTGTCCGCTGAGCATAGTGTGTGTGTGTGTGTGTGTGTGTGTGTGTGTGTGTGTGTGTGTGTGTGTGTGTGTGTGTCCAGCATGGCCCATATTCTTATTTCCAGACCAAAGCAAACACCTGGAAGGCACGCTGTGCGTTGGCCCCTTTGCACAGAATCAAACCTCAGGCACACGTACACCTCCAGCCGCCCCTCGGTCCCCTCCCTCATGAGGCCCTAATGACAGGCGGCGTGAAAACAGGAAAAGGGGTCCTGATCCCAGTGATGGCATGGAAATTAGCCTGAGCTGCAGGTCTTTGTCTAAACATGACCTCACCACAACACCAGCTGACGAGTGACAGCAGTCACATACTCTCATGCTTGGAGATGGAAAGAAACGCCCACACTCTCAGCTCTGCTACTGTATTTGTTGATTGGTTATCATTTTTATGCCAAGCATAAATGGAAAGATAATTGTTTTATATCACGCATAATGTTTCCTACAGGACTCAGATCTGTGTAGCAAAATGAGCATTTATTATTCTTTCTCCCTTCCTGTTTCTCAGGTTATGTACTTGGAGCAGTTGTTGGCGTGTGTGACTGTGCTGCTTAATCAGTGTGAGTCAGAGTGTGGGTCAGTGAGCCTGCAGCTGCTGCAGGTGCTGGTCACTGTCCAGAGCCTCTCCACGGAGCCACAACTCAGTGCAAAGGTGAGTCAACACAGCAGCATCAAGGGACGATTCGAGGTTTATGTTTCCTACTCGCCTTCCATTACGCCCATCCGAAACCTGTTAACACACCTGTGTTAATACCCTTCTAAAGTGGCTCTTGTTCCCCTCTCACCTGCCTTTTTTCATATTTTTTATTAGAAAGGTAAGCAGGCTTTATGAAGCAAGAGTTATTTGTGGAATGTAAGCATTTGCACAGTTTCAAAGTGGGTATGAGCAGCTGTATAATTACCCACTTAGCAAGGGGAGCTGAAATTGCACCTTTGGAGTGGAACTTTAAACCCAGTCTTGGGTGAAAGGAGGCGGGTGAAATGTGCAGAAAGAAGTAAGACTGACATAAACACAGAAAAACAGATGGAGCGAGGTGAATGGTATTTCTTAGCAGGCTTGTGTCATCAGTCAAGTTCAATTGTTTTTGTTTTGTTTCCCATAAAAGCTCCTGAAAAGTCCGAGTCATACAGGTAGTGAGGTTTTGTTAAGCGGTCAGTTCTCAAATCCAAAAGGCAAACAGGAACAAGTGAAGCCGCTGGTGTCTGAGGTCAGAGTGTAATCTAGCCACTTGTCGCCGTTGTAGGATAATGACAGGGAGGGAAGCGGGAAGGAACTGGCACAGATGCTGAGCAGACACCACACTGGCCACCAGCATGACAGTGTGTTTATGTCTGTCTGCATCAATGCGTATGTTCACACAGGGAGCGATATTAGAGAAGAGATGAGAAGGAATGGATCAAGAAAGAGAGGGAGGGTGAGAATGGCCGCTGGCATTCCTGGACCCAGAGGAAAAGCAGAACTTGTTTTCCCAGAAATGAGGAAAGTCTTTCCCATCAATAAAGTGCTTTGGGTCATCCAGCTTTTCTTCAGCTGAATCGCAGCCGTGACTCAGACAATGTCTGTCACTGTCCATCCCTAATAAGGGACAGTGGACTGTGAAATACCCCGAAGATCAGTTCTCCTGCCCTAAAAAGCCAACTAATTATTCATCATGCTGTCTCATTCCTGGCTTTGTGTGTGTTTTTATTTATTCATTTATTTTGAGTGGTTGTTGCGTGAGACCTCTTCATGTCTACCTTTTTGTTTAGTTTTAGCTTTCTGGTTTGCACATCCAATGGAAGTGAGTCTCTAAAAATCTGTATACTATAAATAACTGTTTCTGAATTGTTTTGACTACATTTCGGTGGTTTTAAGAAGAACGTTACTCTTTGAAAGATGTTGACATCCTTTACATTTCCCCTGCAGGCCATGGAGAGCACACACTCTTTGAGTAAGGTGCAGGGCCTGGACTCGACCGAGCTCTACAGGAGACACATGAGACAGCTGCTGGACTGGTTGTCTGCCTCTGTCAACACCTGGACGAGCTACTCCCCACAGAGACTCCAGCTACAAATTATAGTCATGCAATCAGGTGAGACCTGAAGGTCTATGCTCTAGGAATGCAGAAATGTTGGATTAAATACAATTAAAGATAAGAACAAAGTTTAAACATGAAGGTAAGACACCATATCCACACAGCTAGATGTCCCTGTATGACTACAGGATGGGCCTGTAGCCAACTTCCCTGGACGTGGCTGCAGGAGGAAAATTGATGACATCACAGATACATATAATCTGAATGGTAACAAAAGAGCCTAAAAAAAACGTCTAAAGAGATGCGAGGTGAACTTCAAGCTCAAGGAACATTACTGTCAGATTGCACCTTCTTAGCCAAACTACATGGGAGGCGACCAAAGAGAACACCATTGTTGAAAACAAATCATAAAAAAGCCAGACTGGAATATGTCGAACTGCATGTTGACAAGCCACAAAGCTTCTGGGAGAATGTCCAGTGGAACCTTTTGCCAAGGTGCATCAGCTCTATGTTCACAGATGGAAAAATGAAGCATATCAAGAAAATAACACTGTCCCTACTGTGAAACACGGAGGAGGCTCTGTAATGTTTGGGGCTGCTTTGTTGCATCTGGTTGAATCTGTGCGGGGTACAATGAAAGATCCAGACCATCAAAGGGTTCTAGAGAGAAATGTGCTGGCCAGTGTCAGAAAGCTTGGTCTAAGTGCATGGGTCTTGCAACAAGACAGTGACCCAAAACACAGCTAAACACACCCAACAATGGCTTAAAGGAAAACATTGGACTATTCTAAAGTGGCCGTCTATGAGCCCTGACCTCAGTCCTGTAGAGCATCTTAGGAAGGAGCTCAAAGATGCCGTCTGGAAAATTTGCACGAATCATTAACAAAATATGAAGCTAAGGTACCATCATTTGTCCAGGCCTGTTTCATGAGTTTATATTTTTAATCATTCAGTTTAATGATAAAATGATAAATGACCCGCACTTGTATAGCGCCTTTCAGAGTAAGGACTCCAAAGCACTTTACACTACAGTGTATCATTCATCCATTCACACACACATTCACACACTGATGGTGATGAGCTACGATGTAGCTAGAGCTGCTTTGGGGCACACTGACAGAGGCGGAAGCATGGTTGAAAAGCAATGTCTGACTTTCACTGGTTAAATGTCATTAATTATTTATTTATCATTACTTTTGTCAGATTCAAGTTATTTCTGTGACCATTGTGGGTTTTTCTTTCATTGACCAAAGGGTACCAACAATTTGGTCTACATCTGTGTGCGTGCGTGCGTGTGTGCTTATGGCCCAAGTTCTATAATGTCTTCAGGTCAGAATATTTATTCACAAATGTGAGAAATGACTTAATTTAATGATAGTTAAATGTTTTGCACTTTGAGGTACTTTCTTGTTTCCCACGTCAGCCTGCTTCTTCCCTCATATTGATTAATAATTCATCATTTTATTAAAGGCGTTCAGTTTTTCCTCATGTTATATAGAGAATATATATATATGTATAAATAAATATATACACTATATTATGTATATATATATATGTATATGTATATATATATATATATATGTATATATATATATATATACCGTCTGTATATATGAATATATACAGTAAATATACATTATATATATATACATATATATATATATATATATATTTATATATATATATATATATATATATATATATATATATATATACACATAATATAGTGTATATATTTATTTATTTATATATATATATATATATATATATATATATATATATATATATATATATATATATATATATATATATATATATACATACAGTGGGGATGGGGAGCTGCTGACGTCAACTGGGGCTATAGTTGGACGGTGGAAGGAATACTTTGAGGAGCTCCTCAATCCCACCTATGCGCATTCCGAGGAGGAACCAGAGCCGGGAGACCTGGGGATGGACTGTCCAATCTCGGGGGCAGAAGTTGCTGAGGTAGTCAAACAACTACACAGCGGTGGAGCCCCGGGGGCGGATGAGGTTCGTCCTGGGTATCTCAAGGCTATGGATGTTGTAGGGCTGTCATGGTTGACACGTCTCTACAACATTGCGTGGTCATCGGGGGCAGTTCCTGTGGAGTGGCAGACCGGGGTGGTGGTCCCCATCTTTAAGAAGGGTGACCGGAGGGTGTGTTCCAACTATAGGGGGATCACACTCCTCAGCCTCCCTGGAAAGGTCTACTCCAAGGTACTGGAGAGGAGGGTCCGATCGATAGTTGAATCTCAGATTGAGGAGGAGCAACGTGGTTTTCGTCCTGGCCGTGGAACTGTGGACCAGCTCTATACCCTTGCAAGGGTGATGGAGGGGGCATGGGAGTTTGCCCAACCAATCCACATGTGCTTTGTGGATTTGGAGAAGGCTTATGGCCGTGTCCCCAGGGGCACCCTGTGGGGGACGCTCCATGAGTATGGGGTGGGTGGATTTTTGTTAAGGGCCATTCAGTCCCTTTACCAGAGGAGCGGGAGTTTGGTCCGCATAGCCGGTAGAAAGTCGGACCTGTTCCCGGTGAGGGTTGGACTCCGCCAGGGCTGCCCTTTGTCACCGGTTCTGTTCATTACCTTTATGGACAGAATTTCTAGGCGCAGCCGTGGTGTGGAGTGTGACGAGTTTGGTGGCAGGAGAATCTCGTCTCTGCTTTTTGCGGATGATGTGGTCGTCCTACTTTCATCCAGCTCTGACCTTCAGCTCTTGCTGGGTAGGTTCGCGGCCGAGTGTGAAGCAGCTGGGATGAGGATCAGCACCTCCAAATCTGAGACCATGGTTCTCGACCGGAAAAGGGTGGCTTCCCAACTCCGGGTCGGGGGAGAGGTCCTACCTCAAGTGGAGGAGTTTAAGTATCTCGGGGTCTTGTTCACGAGTGAGGGCAGGAGGGATCGGGAGATCGACAGGTGGATTGGTTCGGCGTCTGCAGTGATGCGGACGCTGAGCCGATCTGTCGTGGTGAAGAGGGAGCTGAGCCAGAAAGCCAGGCTCTCGATTTACCGGTCGATCTACGTCCGAATCCTCACCTATGGTCATGAGCTTTGGGTAATGACCGAAAGAACGAGATCGCGGATACAAGCGGCCGAAATGAGTTTCCTCCGTAGGGTGGCCGGGCTCAGCCTTAGAGATAGGGTGAGGAGCTCGGACATTCGGGAGGGACTCGGAGTAGAACCGCTGCTCCACCGTATCGAAAGGAGCCAGTTGAGGTGGTTTGGGCATCTGGTCAGGATGCATCCTGGACGCCTCCCTGGGGAGGTGTTTCGGGCATGTCCTGCCGGCAGGAGGCCCCCGGGTCGACCCAGGACACGTTGGAGAGGTTACATCTCCAATCTGGTCCGGGAACACCTTGGGGTCCTGCCGGAGGAGCTGGTGGAGAAGGCCGGGGAGAGGACGGTCTGGAGCTCCCTAGTTGGGATGCTGCCCCCGCGACCCGGACCCGGATAAGCGGAGGAAGATGACGACGTATATGTGTATATATGTGTATATATAATATATATATTAATAGGTATAGATACATGTATATATTCATATATATATTTTATATATGTATATATTTACTGTGTATATATACTGTATATATTCATAAATATGTGATTATATACAGTATATACATATACACACACACACACACACAAATTCACATCCCACTCTCAGCGGGTGGTCTCATCCTTCCAAGTTCGGGTCCTCTACAAGTCAAGTCTTGAGGGTTCTGTGCAGTATCTTAGCTGTTCCTAGAACCGAGCTTTTCTGGACTGACATGTCTGATGTTTTTCCTGGGATCTGCTCTAGCTACTCACCCAGTTTTGGGGTTCTTGAGGACCTGATGACTACGGGCACCACCGATGTCTTAATTCTCCAGGGCCGTCATTTAGCAAACGTTCATAGAAACTGTCCTCTATTCCTTCCTAGTCAGTACATGACTGAGTTGGTAAGGCTGTGTGTTTTTGTTCTGGTACACCTGCCGCCGATGATCTCCTGCATGTTTCTTACCGCTCTCTGGAGCCTCTCCCTGTCTGCCAAGGTGCAATTACAGTACCATACAGTGGTACAGTCAGCAGGCTCTCGATTGGCAAGCAGTTGAAGATTATTAGCAGCTTCGGGTCCAGATTATGCCTCCTGAGAACGCGAAGCCACTGCTGGGTCTTCTTAATGACTGCTGTCATGTCAGACCAGGGTACGCCATCTGAGATAACATAACATTCATATACCATGTTTGATTTTATTTGCAGAGGTGGTGAAGATTTTTCTTACATGGAAAGTTATTTTTTCCCACTGAAATTTTGGGCAAATTTCAAAACTATTAGTTTGACTGATCAGCCTTATCTGTGCTGATACTAGGGCTGTCAACCCGATGCATGATTCTCACAACTGCATCTGAAGCAGTAAGTAAGTAACGTGTGGCCGTGCTGAATAATCACTCAATTCTTTCGAGTCACAGTCCCTGTACTCCATGCAGGGTTAAATAGATTTAAATCCAGATTTGTCATAAATTCTGGGCTATTTGTTAATCTCTCCCTCTTCAGCAGCCAGTTTGACATGGACTTGGGCTGTGTGTGTGTGTGTGTGTGTGTGTGTGTGTGTGTGTGTGTGTGTGTGTGTGTGTGTGTGTGTGTGTGTGTGTGTGTGTGTGTGTGTGTGTGTGTGTGTGTGTGTGTGTGTGTGTGTGTGTGTGGGTGGGTGGGTGGCACAATGGATTAAAATTGGCACCTTTGCTTTGATTTTAACAATTTACTTTACTTCTGTCAATACAACAAAATCCTCCATCCGCACTCATACGTTGACCCTGTCTCTTTCTCTCCTCATCTCCACTCTAATTGGCTGGGCACTCACACACTCAAACACACACATACACACATTCCTACAGCTCACTGACCAGTCCACTCTAAGGCCACTCGGTAAATCCCAGACAGGTCACTACATCAAAAAGCTGCAAAGCTGCCTGCTCTTGACCTTCTCTTGGATCAAGGCCACTTTGAAGCTCAGTGTGTGAGAGAAACAGAGTGTGTGCATTTTATTTGCACATGCTTAATGCGCTTCTAAAAGCCTCCAGAATTCACAGTTGTAGATGAGTCTCACGAGATAACCCAGGTCTTGTTGCAGGCACCCTAACAGACTGTGTGTGGCCCGTGCGTTTGATGGCTCATGGTTCAGGGAAACCTGCCCTCTTTTAAACAAAAGGCAGTAATTAATTATGACAGCTGAGAACTGGGCACTTGCTTGCTGCTCATCAGCTCTGTACACCATTTGTGTTTGTTTCAGACAGGAACGGTATTGCTCTGTCACGTCTTCTATCTGTTCTTGCGCTGATGCTAAGTGTTTGATTGGATGTGGCGTGGCACGATTACTCCCTCTAACCATCTTTACAGTCAGTGCAAGTGCTTTCCTTAAGGTTAGGGATAAATGTGGACCGCTTCTCATAGCAGTAATGAGTAATGCATTAGTCTCTTAAACCTGCACTGCTTTGTCTGAAATTACATTTGCAGAAACCCCATCAAAGATCTCTGATTTAATTCCACAGCCTGTAATCTGCTCCTTCCCAACGATGACTTTTCTTTATCTTCACCAAGCTGTCCCACATTGTCAGGTAGTGTCAGGATTTCCCCTGTCTCCTCCCATGTTGCTCAAAGTTCAGTCCAAACAGGGCATGAACTTATCACTGACTGCACACACACACACACACAGGCCACTATACATAGCTCAGTAAACATGTAGGTGGACTGATGTGGGAGAAGTGTGTGGGCATGAATGGAAATGAAAGTTTCTCCGTTCCTGTACAACTATGTTTGTGTAGAAACATTTTGTCACACAGTGTCTCATTTCCTCTCCACTCTGTGTCAGTGTCTCGCCAGTCCACTGAGAGCTTAATAATTATTTGTTAACAGCCACAACCCTGAACCAGCATGGGAAAGAAGGATGATTGGATACTTAGAAGAGGAGACAGAAATAAGGTGTTTTCTCAACTTTTCTCAAGAGTTCAAGTTGTTAGACCAGCATTAAAGGTCACGACTGTCTGGAAAAATGGGAACCTGGGTAAACAGCAATTCAACTAAACAACGTCATAAAAAGGCTTACAGTTAAAACTCCAAAACTTAGAATATTGTGAAAAAGTTATTTTATGTCAGTAATATTAACTTAAAAGGTGAAATTAATAAATAAGAGACTCATTACATGCAGAGCCAGAAATTTCAAACCTTCATTTCTTATAACTGTGATAATTATTCAAACTCTCAGACAATCGGAATATTTTTAAAAGGTTAAATATATTCTAGACTCAAGTGTCACACTCCAATCAGCTAATGAGTCTAAAACACCTGCCAAGGGTTCTTGAGCCTTTAGGTGGTCTCTCAGTCTGAAGTGAATTACTGACATAAATGGACTTGTGATTTTTGGAGTTTCACCTGTACATAAGAAAATACCGTTTCACTGTGGAGGAATATGCTTACAATTAGAGTTTGGATGTTAGTTATTCTCCTTCTTTTTCAAGCAACAATAATCAATGTTTAGTAAATCCGTTCAAGTAAGTCCTATTCTTGTCTGAAAGGTACAAACAAACATATGTTCCCTCTGTGATGTAGTCAGAGATAAAGCCACTGATGTGCTTTAATTATGAAGCTTCAGGCATCTGGTGGACGTCTAATTTCAACAGGTGGTTTTTTTCCTCTTTGGTTTTCTTGGCAGTAAAGTAGCCAAAGTGAAAAGTTTTTCTCTCTTTTTTTATTATTCCCAATCATAAAACATGTTTGTTCGTGTTCTTCTTCTAGGTCCAGTTATTGGGGAGTTTGTGAGCCAGCTGATGCCTCTTCTTCACAGCTGTCTCCAGCCAGACAAAGACACAGAAATGAGGATGATGATTTTCACCATGCTTGCCAAACTACTGCTAGATGCTAACAACACACTGGATTCCAAAGGGTGAGGAAAACACTTTGCACACGTCTAACTCAAAAACCAAAATGGTGACTACGTAAAACCTTTTCTGTCCAATCATCATCATCATTTGTCTCACCGACCTTTGGCCTCTATTAGCTGTGTGACACTGTTTTGTTCTTGTGATAAATATCAGCATAGCTTGAATGATTGGATGTCACGCTGGCACCACATTTGCAGGGGACCGTAATTTGAAAAGCACACAAACACAGCTCGTTTCGCTATCATTATTATGGTAGCTCTTTGATCTGACGTAGTAATGAAAAGCCACGGCTCGCCACACATTTAAACGGCTCTCTGAGGGAGGATCAGATAGACCCACTCTAATTAATCACTTCCTGGCTTGCATTAGGAAGACGACAGCCTTCTCAACATCGATTTGAATGGTAATTAGTAATTTTAAGGTTATTGACTGATTAAGGAGCCAGGACAGCAGGAATGTTTGACACCCTCTCTCGCCCTCCTCTGAGCGCCAGCTGTGCAGCCATCAACGCCAAGCTCCAGGCTGAGGGAATGCTTTAAACGTGAGGCCGTCTGTGGGTCACAACAGCTGCTCCTGTCCATCCAAAAGGCAAACTTCATTTGTTAGGCTGCCATGATGACGTGTACAGTGTGCGGCTAGCCCTAACGAAGCAGCCCGTAGGTCGATGTGTGTTAGTAGGCATTTCCATTAGTTGATCTGTGGAGCAATATGCTAATCTTTGTGTGGAAGCACATGGAAAGTATTTTAAGGTCATTTGAGAATAGTATAAGGAATACAAAACAACATACTTGTCGCATAAATAAGAGGTGTACTACGGCCAAAATATTCCACTTAGACATTCTCTCTCTCCTGATAATAACTTTTTGGTTTCCTTGATTTTTGATGTGCTAATACTAGTTTATCCGTTTAATTATTGATTCACTAGGATAAATACAATAAAGTTTATCTTTCACCAAATAGAATATTTACTAAGACATCACAATATAACTGTAGACACATTACTTGTCCGTGTGTGTGTGTGTGTGTGTGTGCGTGCGTGCGTGCGTGTGTGTGTGTGTGTGTGTCTGCTCTGTCTTCTCGATCCGCAGTGAGTCGTGGTGGATGGCTGCTTATACTGAGCCAGGATTCTCTGGAGGTTTCTTCCTGTTAAAAGGGAGTTTTCCTCTCCACTGTCGCTTTATGCTTGCTTGGTATGAGATTGCTGTATAGTCACTGACACTAGTCAGTGACTTGATGCAATTTGCTGGGTTCCTTATATAGGAAACATTATTTCTGATTGGCTTAATGAACTGACCTGAATTGGAATGTTTATTATGTGAAGTGTCTTGAGACGACTCTTGTCGTGATTTGGCGCTATATAAATAAACTTGAATTGAATTGAATTGAATTCTTCTACATTTGCCAAAAATGCGGAAATTAGAAAATGTGTTTTCATCTTCTTTCTATTTGTTCTTGAAAGGTCAGAATAGACAACAGGAGTTTGTCTTTTGCACACCCTAACACGGCCACCTGCACTGTTAACCGGTTCTCTCATTCCTTACTTATATCTCTGGTGACACAACTATCAAGAAATAAAAACTGCGTTATGCCTTCAAAACGGCTTCAGACAATTCTGTAGAGCTGTGTGGTTTGCTATAACATTTCCATTCATTCTCAACCCTCCATTCATGATTTGTGGCTTGATCTTTGTTCAGCAGGCCACACACACTCCATATGTCATTAGGAGGACAAGGATACTCCTACAGAAAACTTCTTTTCTTTCTTGTGCATCCAAAAGGATATAATGACACCTCCGTATGGAAGGGAACAGTTACACGCGTCCCTGTTATCCGCACACACTCTCATACACACTTGTGATGCTTTTTATGTGTGGATTTAGTGATTAAAAAGCAGGAAGGAAAGTAAAGTACATGAAATGAGAGTTTATGCTTTTAACCTGGATGTGGGAAGCCAAAATCATGTGTCATTTGCAAAGAGATAACAGTGTGCTTTCGAGGTCGTATTGACTGCAAACACGTCTGTAATTTCAAAAAGCTTCAAGGTTTCCCACAAGAAAAAAGGCTCTTATTTTATACATGAGTTTCTCTAACATGAAGCAAGACGTAACAAAGCAGACACAACCATACCATTATCTATAATTATCCTACAATCTGTAACATATCCTAGAAAATGGCTGAAACAAGGCACACTCCTAATTCACTTTTGAGAAATGGCCATGAGACTTCATGGACCCATAGGTAAAATCATTCATAATCCCTATAATTACTTTATTATTAAATGATGTTAAGCTGTGACAAATTTATGCAAATTATCCACAAACTATGTGATACATGAGAACAAGGTCTTGCACACTACACAACAGAAATCTAGCTTAAATGTCAAGGAATTGAAAAAATTTAGCAAATAAGATTTATCTGAATTTATAGTAGATTTATATTTCTTGTCTATTGGGTGAGAAAAGTGCTCCATCTCAGTTTCCGTGGTGGCATTTAGATCAGTTATAGAATGTTAAAGAGCGACCAGAAGAATCACAATTGGTTAAAAAGTCTGGAGGACTGGGAGAAAGCCGTTTTCTAACCCTAACCCATCTAAAACCAATCATCGGGAGAAGAAAATGCAAGCATTCCCACTAGTCCTGTGAAAACAGCCAGTGGATTCACTTGCACGTTTTAGCCTCAGTACACGGCCACAAATAAAGAACGTCTTCCGAGAGCCACTTCCTTAGCCAGCCTGGAGGCTACGTGACTCAGGGAACATTTGTGGTCGACGTCCAGGAAACTGCCCAGACCTTAATCCCATTGAAAACTTGTGGTCAGTCTGCAGGAGGCAGATGGGCAAACAAAAACACTCAAATTCCAACCATTGCGTCTATCTGGGATCTACATAGTCATAAACAACAGTAGAAGGGTGAGCTCGTCGCATGATCTAATAAATGTAGTCAAAGATGAAGCAGTTGACACAGTGAAACACATCAAAGCGCTGTGTCTGGTAGAACGTGGAGATGAAGCCGCGCAGCAAAACGAATCTAGACCAGCAACGGCTCAGTCTGCCATGACTGTCCCGCTTACGTCTGCCTCCTGAGAGTAGTTTGTTTAGTAAAATAAAGAAATGTCTGTAATAATTTAGTTAAATGTCAGGAAACTAAAGTGTTTGGATTTTTTTTGTGGCCTCCAGAATGCACTTATACGTTTTCTATCCAGGCTGAACTCCTACCTCTATCTCCTGCTTTAGCTTCTGATAGAAATAGACGGTGAAACTCTAGGATTTGAAAAGGCTGACAGGTCAGTCAATGAGGCAGGTCTACACCGCTATCATCGAGTCCATCCTCACCTCCTCCATCACCGTGTGGTATGCTGGAGCTACCACCAGGGACAAGAGGAGGCTGCAGCGTGTCGTGCGCTCTGCAGAGAAGGTCATTGGCTGCAAACTCCCCTCCATTCAGGATCTGTACACCTCTAGGACAATGAGGCGTGCAGGTCGGATAATAGCTGACTCGTCTCACCCTGGACACAGTCTCTTCGACTCGCTCCCATCTGGCAGAAGGCTCAGATCCGTTCGGACCAGAACTTCTCGCCACAAAAACAGTTTCTTCGCCTCTGCAGTTGGACTTTTGAATGAAAATCCTAGGGCAGCCCACTCAAGATGACTGGTCCCAGTCACGTGACCCGATGCTGTACTTGAAACATTCAGCAAACACTCAGATTAGTACCTACACGGGGTAGATAGCTGCTTCTCTAATTCTTGCCACTTCAATCAGATCAATCAATCAGATTTATTTATAAAGCGCTTTTCAAACAAAGTGCTACTCAAAGTGCTTTACAAAATGACCCCAGATTCCCATAACAGGTTAAAAACATTAACAGACATATGCAAGCACACGCACGCACACACTCACACACACACAAGTAAAAATTATATTTGGCTGAGTCCAGATGAGCCCAGTAAGGTAAGGCAAGGAAACGCCATCAGAGGAGCCCTCTGCCCCGGCAGCATCAGGTCTTCCACACTAAGTCAGGGCGCTCAGTGGAGGGGGAGCATAGTCCCCCCACCTATAGAGCGCCCAGGAAGCTACAGTCGACCACCGCTCCAGGGGCAGAGGGCCCCCACAGAGGAAACACTGGATTAAAATGAGTAAAAATATAATAAAAGAGCTAATATAAGGGATAAAAGTTAGAAAATAAGTAATGAATAAAATCATATAGACAGTAAAATAATAATATTCAATAATAAAACGGTGCTAAAATATAATCATATAAAACATGCAAAGCAAGTAATAAAATATAATCATGTAAAACGAGAATTAAATCTAGTAAATATTTAGATAAAAGCTAACCTAAATAGGCGGGTCTTGAGCCTGGACTTAAAAACATGAACGTTCTCTGCGGCCCTGAGGTCCTCTGGCAGCTCGTTCCAGAGGCGAGGGCTGTAATACTGGAAGGACGCCTCGCCGTGAGTGTGTGTCCTGACTTTAGGGATGACCAGGAGACGCCTGCCAGAGGAGCGCAGAGGCTGTGAGGGTTCATATGGTAAAAACAGTTCTGAGAGATAAGAAGGCCCAAGACCGTTAAGACACTTAAAAACCATTAGAAGAACCTTAAAATGGATCCTGAAACATACGGGGAGCCAATGCAATGATTCTAAAACTGGTGTCATGTGCTCCCGCCTCCTGGTCTTCATCAGGACACGTGCTGCCGAATTTTGTAGAAGTTGTAAGCCTGAGATGCTCTTTTTAGGAAGACCAGAAAGCAGGGCATTGCAGTAGTCTATCCTACTGGTGATAAAAGCATGCATCAGCATCTCCGTATTGGCCCTTATTGGACTTTTTACATTAATAATTTTATCATGAGTGTTTTATTACTTCCTATATTTGCTTATCTCTTAATTATTTTTTTTTTTATCTTACCTTCTGCACCAAATACCGCAACAATTTCCTAATGTTGTGACTTGGCACACATATGGCAAATAAAGACTTCTGATTTCTACTAGAGACCACTACAAATGTGTTGATTAAACGAGTGAACCTCTCAGCAGATTTCAGAGAAAGACGAGGTGGAGGACTTCCAGCGGAAGGTCATTCCACATCTTAGCAGCTGCTACTGAAAAAGCACAATCTCCCTTTAGCTTACACTTTGTTAGAGAGGAGCTGGTCAGCTGACCTGTGAGTGGGAGGGGCTTTAAGGCTGTAGCAGCTCACAGAGGTCGGACGGGGCAAGGCCATGGAGGACTTTCCAAGCAAATGCAAGCACTTGAAAATGAATTCTGACGTGAACAGTCAACCAGTGAAGTGGGGCTAAAATAGGAGTAATGTGTTCATATTTTTGTGTGGCAGTTAAAGGGTGAGCGGCAGCTTTTAGTACCCTCTTGAGATAGGTAATGGAGGAAGCACTGACCCTGCAGTGCATTAGTCCAGACCAGAGTAATTTACTCTAACTAATTTTAATGCTGCCTGATGGTCACCACAACCTCTGTATTTGGTTGCTCACACAAAACTGCAGAGTGACCAGAAACTGGTCAGAACTGATTGAATGTACAGAGGTGGGTGTATCATGAGTACTGGTTAGCTGGAACATAGACATTGAGCCCTGGCTGATAGTGAATTCACCACAGAGATGACTTTATACAGACTTGTTGCAGCGGGTTTATCTAATTTATCTGTATCTATGTGAAAGAAGGTTTTCTGTGACAGACTGCTCCGGCGCACAGAGACCCATGAGATGTTCAGTCAGAACTTCCTGGCACTATTTCAGCGTGAGCACATAGACATAAAACTAAATGGAGAGCCCCTACTCTACGTTCCGCTGGACATCCTCCCTACTATACGGAAATGTGTCTTTTGTTTCTTTGGCATCACTCAGGACTAGGGTTGGGCATCGAGCATCGATAGGAACCGGGACCAACTGTTAGTTTTTCCCGGAATCGTTCAAATTTTTTTTATTCTGATTCCTAGTTTCGATTCCTAGAATGCCGACGGAAGAGGAATCCGCGGTTGATCTCCGTGAAAAATAAACGTGATCTACAAATTGTGATCAACGCTTTTCAGAGCTGATCACACCAGCTGTCTGTGTGCAGCACCGAGTCCCCCCCACCCAGATATAAACAAACGCGTCTGCCAAACTTTTACTCCGTAATGTAAACTTTAACTCCTGCAGCGTAGAGGAAACTTGTTTAAATACGTCAACACGGTGGATTTAATCAAAGCTTTAAAGAACAAACTCTTGTAGCGTTTGCAAATTGATGGTATTTATTCTAGGTTTTAATTCAGAAGATCTAGGTTCTTTGCTTTTTCAGTGATAAACCACTCTTCGTGTTACTTCAAGAGTCAGGTTTATAAAGTAAGAATTTATTTTGGCAAACAATTAAAACATGACTAATTAACTAAGCATTTTACCGTGAGTGGATGTAACTAAACGTGATGAAGGAACCTATGTGTGAATGCGATGTCACTCAGCTTCCTTATCAAAATAAGCTGAGTTCTGGTGAAAAGAATTTGGTTTGCTCTAGATGCGCTAGATGTTGAAAGGTCAGACTGTACCTAAACTGACCATTGCTGGGACGTTACACTCTGGACAGTGTGAGGTGAGTTTGTGTCACTGCAGAAATAAAACACACGGAGCGAGCGTCAGCAGTCAGACGCAGCCGCTCACCAACACTCGTGTGTATGTGTGTGTGTGAGAGAGGAGGAGAGAGTGAGAGAGAGAGAGAGAGGAGAGAGAGGAGAGAGAGAGAGAGAGAGAGAGGAGAGAGAGAAGAGAGAGAGAGAGAGAGAGAGAGAGAGAGAGAGAGAGAGAGAGAGAGAGAGAGAGAGAGAGAGAGAGAGAGAGAGAGAGAGAGAGAGAGAGAGAGAGAGAGAGAGGAGAGAGAGAGAGAGAGAGGAGAAGAGAGAGAGGAGAGAGAGAGAGGAGAGAGAGAGTGGGAAGAGAGAGAGAGAGAGAGAGAGAGAGAGAGAGAGAGAGAGAGAGAGAGGAGAGAGAGAGAGAGAGAGAGAGAGAGAGAGAGAGAGAGAGAGAGAGAGAGAGAGTCAGAAGGCCAAACAATAACCTGTAGAATAATTAGTCATCATGCTAGTTGAGCAGCTTCTCTGTGTGGACCACACCAGCTTCTGCCACAATAAATAATTATAGTAATAGTAATAAATAACGTTTTTTATTTCCTTTCTGAACTATTTCTGTTGAGAGTTTAAATGTGTAAAATCTGGTACAGCAGCTACATTTAAGTTTCACTTTCTGTTCTGACTGAATGCTGCTGCAGCATGGAGGTGTAGTTCTCAGTCATCCTGGACATGATCATCCTGAGAGTTTTTAGCTGAAAACAGCTGGATGTTTTTGGATATGTTGGAGACATTTAGCCTCTCATCCCAGAGGCTTCTTCCAGACGCTGGTTG